TGAGAATAAAAACAGTGTTCACACACGTCGCTAACACTGAATGCTAACAGACTGTTATATGTCTATATGATTTGATTTTAGCCCAATTATAATAATCTCTTTCTTTCTTTTTTACATTTAGACCAACATGGGATCAACTTCCATCGACATGTGAGTAACAGAGTTCATCATCACTTCTTGGGTTTTAATCAGCAGGATTTAGTTTGTTAGTGACCCATAGATACTTGCACTGTGGCTTTTAGCAAATGATATTCAGAGGGAAATAATGTATTTGTTGGGGAACTACTTTCAGCTCAAGGAAAGGGATTTTTTTAAGCAAGTAGTTCGCAGTTTAAACAAATATTGTATTTATAAATTGGAACAGTTTTTAGGGTCTAAAGTTTGAAAATTGTCCAGCAAAGGTATGATTTCATTTTAAATAATGGCTCAGTAATGTCCTGCCACAGGTGGGTACTGTTTCCAGCAGCAGTGGGAATGATTGTAAATAAACTACCGGGGCTGTGTTCATCGTAACGAAGGAACATGTTACCCAGTGCAACTGTGTGGCTCAGTGATGTGTTTTAACAGTTTCTGAGCAACAATGGAGCCGTTGTACAAAGGAACATTAAACTTCAGACCTTCTAACTCATGGACGGGATCAATTCAATGTTAGTTTTGAACTTTTATTGGGATTTGTTGGTAAGAAAAATAGAGAGGATCAAAAAACTTCATGTAGGTCAGTATTCTTTGGCAGACTCAACAACGCAGCTCAGTTGGAATATAAACAGCCCGGAGCCAAGTGAAGGGCACCAAGTGTACCTTGATCCGAGACGTAACGTTGAATTGACTTTTGGATGTCTAACATCCTCAGGATAAACTACCTGCTCTCAGCACAGATGTCAATAATGGATGCCACCTCTTCACAAGCACCTCAAATAGTTTGAAGCTATTTGGATACTTCTCCAAACAGACTTTTTGGCAGCGCAGAGCGCTTCTCTCAGTGCTCATGTTTTCAGGAAGTGCCATGGTTTTCAGGGGTGGGGTGGTTGGGTGGTGGGGTATTTGCATACTGGCTTGCCGGAGGGGAGGGAAAGACTCTCCATCACTCTTTGTGTAATGTTCAGTGACCAAACTGGTCCTGGAGACAGACTAAAAGTCTAGTTCTCTCAACTGTACAAAAACATATTGTTTCAAACGGATCTTTTCTGCTTTCAACACTTTAGATAAAGACAGAGAACATCAACGACTCACACCATCTAGGCTCACTGAAGACATGTCACCTGACACAGGGCTCTCCGATGCCTGGAGGTCAACTGCCTGGGGTAAGACACAGACACTGAGACTCAGTTCACATCACAAGTGGTCAGTTAAATACAGGTCTGAACACACCCCAACGCCCTGAATGTCTCCAGATCTGATCTCTTAGAACAAAACACACACAAACACATTGACAAAGACATTTTGTTTTCTTCACACTGGGTAAAACCAAAAATGTTGGTCTTTGCAAACACAACATGTTTATACCTGGTCTGAACAGGGCTTGAATCATTCAATCGTTCTGAGTACTTCTAAGCACATCATCTTACAGTATATGAGCGTATCATCAGGGATCGGTTTTCTCAGGGTGGCAGTAATGGGAGAACTGGTCTGATTTAATCAAGTAAAAGTAGCAATACAACAAGATAAAAGTACACTGCTAAAAGTAAAAGTTGTGCATTTTAAATCTTACTGAATGGGAAACTATAATATAAAACAATTATACATCTCAATCTTTGGTGCATCAGTTTGTGTAGTTTGTTTCTTAAATTGAATATTTCTGATATTTGGACTGGTGGTCCGACAACAAGACATTTGAGGGAGTCACAAATGAGGATGTTTAATATCTCATCATTATGTTTAATGTGATTATATGCTTCATACTAAAAACCTTTACCAGCGTAGTAACTAACTAAAGGCATCAGACATGTAATCGATAATTTCCTTCTGAAATATAGTGGAGCAGAAATATAAAGAAATGATAAAGCATAAAAACAAATATTATACAAATACGTCACAATTGGTGTCAAATAAAGTTCTTTTCTCAAAGTATTCTTTACCCCTGCAGAACTGCAGAACCACTCAATGCCAAAGCTTAGCTGAGTTAAGATTAATTCTTCTGTTTCTGTATCTTGTTTTTCTCCAGGAGCTCACATCTCTCCACACAATGCAGGGGCTGGTTCTGATGCCGCCTTCCCACCTGCCATCTCCCTCCTCCTTCCTGCTCTCCCAGGGTCCCACCAACCACCAAGGTGCAGTCTTCAAAACCTCCAATGAGTCAACTCCGCAAATCAGCTGCATGAATTATTTTCTGTGACTTAAGCCTGAAATACATGATGGTTTTATCCTCTTAAATACCACCGACAGCAGTTTATCCATCCACCCAGAAACTTAATTTCTTCATAATAAAAACCACAGTTTGCAGGAGTCTTGTTGCAGCAAACATATAATTCATCGAATACCTGTTTTCCTTTGCAGCTGTTCTGCAGCCGAACCTGCTGTCACTTCCCAGCCATAATCAAAGTGGTCTTCTTCAGCACCAACCTGGACTAGCTCTTACTCCACAGGTAAATCCAGACCACTTCCATGAGACATGTGCTGTGCAAAGATGCTGTAATCAATATTTCTATCACATGATGACTTGTATGTGGTTTCATATCCCACAACTTTACTTTACTTTACTGCAGTCACACACTAGTATCAGCAGGTAACCTTGTTCATCGCCTCTGTTACACCTGGGATCTTAACGTTTTTTCCCCCTGTGATGTTTGTCTGATCCAGGCCATGACTCGCTCTGGTCTGGCAGGACCGTCCATGGAGCACCACATGGACATGTCTCACCTGCAGATGCCTAAACACTTGTCAGTACCACTGCAGGAGGAACCCAGTGATCTGGAGGAACTGGAACAGTTTGCGAAAGCATTCAAGCAAAGACGCATCAAACTGGGCTTCACTCAGGTGAGAAAGAGAAAGAAACCCCCCAAAAGATGCTCTATCAGCTTCCTGTGGGCTCTAGGGTTCTACTTCAACACACCATTTTCAGAACAGTTTGGGTAGTTTCATGTGACACTTTTATATATTTGAGTTGCTTTTTAATCCAACAAATTGTGATGTTTCTGAGAAGACATGACAAGAAGTTCCCAGCAGCTTTATGGAGATTTAGTCTTTAGTCTCAGATGTCTCCCTCAGGTCATATGTATTGTTTGAGTATAAAGTCTGATACCTGGTCTGAGAATTTATTTTGTAACCGTAACTCTTCTCAGTTCTCAGGGTAATTCTCTACAGTAAATTACAACATGGTAATGAAATGATAGTATAATTATATTTAAAAAGATGTAATAGTATGAAAGTGTCCTTAAATTCTTCCCAGATGGTGACTTTAGTCCAGTAAGTTGTACACTACCCTTTAATGATACAACAATCTGTTAGTTTTCTTTTTAAGATTCAAGATTGTTTCGACAGAAATTCTTAAATCAATAAGAATCTACTTTCAAAATTCACAATGTTATTTTCATATTCATTACTGACTGTGCGTACTGTATTTTTGCTTGTACACAGTTTTTCAGTGGGATGAGGGAATATTAACATTTCATATGTGTTTAACTTGAACTGTTGTTTTCAGCCTTTCTGATTGTGTCTCATGTCTCATTCAGATGTGTATTTTGTATCCCTATCTTGTATTTTTAATTATTTGTGTTTACCTATACTTTCCCTTCATTGTACCACTTGTATCATTTATTATTTAAAATGTTTTTAAGTCATTAAAGTTATATTTAACAGCATTGTGAATGAGGGCAAGCACTCAAAGACATTTTAGGTTACATGAAGGCAAATAATTAAATCGTTTTATATTTTCAACCCTCACATTAGACTGGTGCTGATCCTGAAAACAGATGTTTCACTAGTTTCTCTACTTCAGTCAAATTCCCTCCACTGATGATGACTGGTAGACTTTGACTACTTGACTGATAATAGTAAATGTGTGTATGTTCTTGATTACAGGGAGATGTGGGCCTTGCTATGGGGAAACTGTACGGCAACGATTTCAGCCAAACCACAATCTCTCGCTTCGAGGCTCTAAACCTGAGTTTCAAGAACATGTGCAAGCTCAAACCGCTGCTCGAGAAATGGCTGAGTGACGCAGGTACAACACAGTGATGAACATTTTTATTTTCATTGTTTTTAATCCAGAACCTCTGGTGATTCTAGCTTGATGGTTAAAATTATGAATATCTACGTTATATTTGTTTGTACATCAGAGAACTCCCCCTCTGACTCGATGAGTAGCCCCACCTCTCTGCCCCCCTTGATGGAGGGCTACGGCCGCAAACGGAAAAAGAGGACAAGCATTGAAACGAACATCAAGCTGACTCTGGAGAAACGTTTCCTTGATGTGAGTTCAATCAATAATTAATGAGATCTTATGGTGCTACTGCTCATTTTTTCTAATTTACGGAATTAATAAGTTGTGTAGTTTTTGTTCGGCACCTCAGGTCTGAATGGGTTGATACAATTTGTTTTTCTATGTCATTCATTAC